ACCTAGGTGGTCTACTATACAATTTACTCTTTGGGGGCTACTGGGAAGAAGCTAGGCACATTTTTAAAGATGTTAAGCTCAAATGGTCTGAAAATTTATCACAACAGGTGGGGTTTTTCTCTTCCTCCTTCCTTGGCTTTGAAAATATGCCTGTGACACTGCTTTCTTTTCCATGCACATCCATAACTTGGGAGGTTGGATGGCAAAATTCTACACAGCAAGCCATCTAATGGACTCAAACTATCTCTTTTGGGAGGAAGAGAAACACTCTAGGGCCAAAAATTTCAAGTCTAGGATCCGAAAGCTCTACAAGAGAAGCTGTGGGTTATGTTCTTTCCTTGGTTGGGAAATTGACTGGATCCCAGGAATGTCCTTTTCCCACCTTGCTAATTTCTCTTGTTCCAGGAAAACAGACCTTGAAAGGAACACAGGAAGCCTGGTTATTGGAGGACAAAAGTGAACATTAGTTATTCCAATATTTTGGAAAGTGTTTTTTGAGTTTTCATAAATGTTTGCCAAGAATCAAATATCACCACATTAAAAAGAATTAATTGAATGCTTGTATTGTGATGGACTTATTAAGCCCTTTGACCTTGGGAAGAAGTTAAAATGCCATGACATCTCTGAGTTTATGATAAACTTATTAATTAATTAATATTCACAGGATGCATATGACAAATACAGTGCCCAGGAAGAAGTTTCATTCCCAACATGGGCTGCTGAAATTAAATTTTCTTATGTTGAGTATTGCTATCTCAAGTATATTACATATCCCATGATATCCATCATGGCTAATTGATGTGTATATATTATGTGCATATATATATATATTCATAACTTTTGAAAATTAAAATATATTTTTACCCACTCGAGTGTAAAAGAATAATTAAATCGCCAAAGCAATTAATTTCTTGATCCATAATTTTGCATCATGGAGTTTTGGTGAAGAGCATGGTGCTGGAGAAGGAATGTCTATGTGAAAACCACTGACAAGTGGTGTGACCTCAGGGAAGTTGCTGTGCAGCATTAACTTCATCTCCAAAATGAGAGTACTAATTGCACCTGCCTCAGGGGGTGGTTATGGAGATGAAATGAATTAAGACCTGGTTCCCTACAAAGTACTGTGAACTTTCATTGTAATTTCTAGTATGAGTAAGGCCCCATGCTAGGTGCTCTGAGGGATAAAGTAAAAGACACACAGTCCTTTTATACAGTTTAGTATCTATTTAGGAACCTAAATGAAATTTCCATATAAAGTTCAATATGAACTGAGTAAATATGAGTAAATATGAGTTCAATATGAACTGAGTAAAAAACCAACATTTGCATTCATCTGCATAGACCAGACTTTTAAGGACTTTTTAGGGACTTCTGGGCGCTAGTGGCTTATGCCTGTAATCCCAGCTACTCAGGAGGCAGCCAGCCAGGGCAAATAGTTCTCGAGACCCTATCTTGAAAATATCCAACACAAAAAAGGGCTGGTAGAGTGGCTCAAGGGGTAGGCCCTGAGTTCAACCCCCAGTACCACAAAAAAATTTAAAAAAGCTTTAGGGACTGGCTGTCTTGGAGCAGACCAGTGTTTTTATAAAGCATGTCAGTTTCAAGTTTGTTTCCTTTCAGCTGATGCTTATCTTTTTGACACAGTGAGAAAAGGCTCAAGGCACATTGTATAATAAATGCTGTTTGCAGTGGTCCAGCCGCTGTTAATCCTGCAGTGGTTTAGCCGCTGGTGCACATTAAATGACGCAGATGCTTATGCTGGATTAAGGCTCTTGACAACAGAGATAGATGGAGCTGTGGGTTCTCTGAGAAGCGGGCCAAACCTCTCCCTCAATGCAGTTTACAGAGGGATAGTGATCTATAAACGTCAGCTGAGATTTTGATTTTACTGAGATTTACTGAGAGTTCCAGACTGTTATTATTCAGTTTAAGGGGTAATTCCACAAAGAACTGGTACAAAACAGTGCATATCTAGCTGCTGAACAAATAGTACAGAGTAAGTGCTCCTCCTGATCCAGGACAGGACAGCTGACTGTGGTCTGGCTAATTAGGGAAGGTCCCAGGAAGAAGTGGTTAGGAAAGGGTTTCAACAGGAATTTAAGGTGATCTTGGGCTAATTAATCCCCTTTAAGGCATAGATGAATTGTCCCAACTGATTTTTTTTTTCATTTATCACTCTAGATTTCACCTACATACTACCCCTGAGTGGTACTCCCTAACAAAAGGTAATTTTCTGGATAAATTCTGAGTTTAATAGGTTTCCATGGGCTGATCAGAGAATATAACGACCATCACCATTAATGACACTGCTGGGAAAAGAACTATTCTGAATCTCAATCAATTTCTAAATCCTTTTGAAAACTCTGCTTTAATTGGTTCTTTCACCCAGTTATTAATTAAGTGCTTTTCATATGTCAGACATCTGTAAGCTCTGAGGATAAGTGAGCAAAACAAAGATCCCTCAAAGAGTTGACATGCTAGAGAGAAGAGACAGTGAAACTATAAGTATAATACATAATTGGTATAGTGAAATATTTGGTATAAGCTCTATGGAATAAAGAAAAACTACAGCAGAGTAAAAGGGATGGGGCACACAGAGAAACTAAAGCAGATACTTTAAAGCAACTGAGGCCAATAGGAGAAGGGGACCAGGAACTAGAGAAAAGGTTAGTTCGAGAAGAATTAACTTAGAAGGTAACACACATGTACAGGAAATCAATGCAAGTCAACTCCCTGTGTAGCTATCCTTATCTCAACTAGCAAAAACCCTTGGTCCTTCCTATTATTGCGTATATTCTCTCTTCAACAAAATTAGAAATAAGGGCAAAATAGTTTCTGCTGGGTAGCAAGGGGGTAGGGGGGAGAGGGAGGGGGTGGGGGTGTAAGGGAGAGGGTGGGGGAAGGGGGGAGAAATGACCCAAACATTGTATGCACATATGAATAAAATAAAAATCAAAAAAAAAGGGATGGGGCAGTCAGGAATTTTAAATAGGATGGGCATCAGAATGTGACATTTAAGACAAGTGTGAAGGGAATTGGTTAAGATTACTAACCACAGGTCGGGAGAAAGCATTTAAGGCAGAAGGAAAAGCCAATGCAAAGGCCCTGTGTTAGGAGCTTATTTAGTGAGTGTGAAGAGCAGCAAGGACACCAGTGTAGTTGGAGCGGGGTGGAAGAGAGAGGATGTGGTCAGGGGTGAGGAGGGGACTTGCCAGGTCATCTAGAGCCTAGCAGGCTGTTGCAGGGCTTTTGAGAAAGTCCAACTTTCTCAAATCAGCCCACTTGTGTTGGGCTGCTTTAAAGCAGGGCCTGTCTGTAACGAAACAACTCTTGTTACACTTAAACTTGGTGAGGTTTTTTTTGGCAGTATTGGTGTTTGAACTCAGGCTCTCACGTTTGCTAGGCAAGTGTTCTACATCTAGAGCCATACCCCTAGCTCTTTTTACTTTAGCTTATCTTTCAGATAGTGCTTCACGATTTTGCCTGGGGCTGATTTCTGATCTTCTTTCCTCTACCTCCCAAGTAGCATGGGATTATAGACATAAAATACTGTTCATGGCCTACACATAAACTTTTTTACATATAAAAATCCAGGAATCCTTTTAAAATTCAGATTCTGATTTAGTAAATCAGAGGTAGGGCCTGACGTTCTGCATCTTTAACAAGCTTCCAGAAGATGCCAGGCTGCTGTTCCGCAAGGAGAGTAAAGAGGTACTGAGTTCCCAGAGCTTTGGGGTCTACTCTCCACTAACTGGTTGCAAGAGCTGTTAGTGCCCTCTGAGCCTAAAAGAATCTCTCAGAGCGTTTCTGTTTGCATGTTCATATGAGCCATGGGTTCTCTCACTATGGTCTTATCTCCTGACTGGTAGGAGCATGGTCTGGGGCTGCCTCTGGTTCTAGAGGCAGTTTGTGTGGCTGTTTCCATGCAGAGTGAAAAATGTTTCTAGGGCCTCCTTACTGCTACTATGAAGACTGCCTTCTGAATCTCAACCTGGGAAACCCTGTTTAGGCCCTTGACTGATCATTTCACTCTCTGACTCTGTTTGTATCTTACTTCAATTACAGGAGCTCTGACTCAAGGTCTTTACTTCTGGTCCTATACCTTCAGTGACAGCCCAGACCTGAGAAGTGGAGGATTGGGGCCATATTCCCAGGCAGAAGAGACACTCCGTTGATACCTGATAACAGGTTAGGCTGACATTCTTAAGAGCCAGCCCTCTCATTTGCAGCTGAGCAGGCCTGGAAGGACTGTCCATTCGTGAATATAAAGCATATATGATGGAGTCAGACAGGCGTGGGTTTGAACTGAGCATCAATCCATCCCTTATTGTGTAATATCAGAAATGTTTCTTGGCATCTCTGAGCTGCATTTTTTTCTGTTCAGGAAAACGGGAATGACAGTACCTTCCTCATAAATGCATATAAAGTATTTATACTCAAAATGTAAGTCGCATATTATTTTTGAGCCTTCTAAAGCAGGTGGAGGCCTAGCATTATGGCACCCATCTTCACATGGCCCTGAGTTAAGGTCCCAGAATAAATCCATCAACAGAAGCGTTCAAGGAATGAGATACAGAGGCCAATGGCAGTTTCTTCACGGGAGGTGTCACGAGATCATTGAAAGGACCGAAAGTGTATAGAAAATCGGTAGTGGGCCAGTCGTGATGGCTGTCTCGTGAAAGAGGAATGCATGCGTGTGTCCTATACGACCCTGAGGGACGCCTGAGATCAGTGGGGAGAGTTGAACGGGCAGCCCACCCCGGCCCACGAGGGAGGAAACTTTCCACCAATGACAGCGGGTTGGGTGGGAACCGGGAGGGGGCGGGGCCTGAGCAGGGGGCTCGTGCGCAGCCGCGGCGGCGGAGCCAATCACCGGGCGCAGCCAGCCCTCGCGCGACCACATAGCGGTGCAGTCGTGACGTCAGCGGTTGCCATGGAGAAGCCCGCTCGGTAGATACCGCTAGCTGACGCCAGCGGAGGCGCGGTCCGAGCGTGGCTTTGAAGTCGCGTTCACTGCCACCATGAGCGGCGGAAGTAGGGGTCGAAAGTCCTCCCGCGCCAAAAGCCGGGGCAAAAGCCGCGCCAAAGCCCGCGTCCGCGCGGCTCGCGATGACGCCCCGCGCGACGCTGACCCTCCACAGTCCCAGAGGCTCGGGGAGAACGCCAAGGCGGCACAGGTGCAGGCTGGCGCGGGTTGGGGTGGCCTGGAAACCGCTGAGCCCGCGCCGCCCCTCCAGCTCGGGGACGAGGCTGCCAGCCGGCTCCCCCTGGACTGTGGCCTAGCGCTCCGGGCCCGAGTCGCGGGGGACCGCGGACTGGCCGCCACCAGGCCCGGCCGGGGGAAGGTCACGTCCCTGTCCGAGCGCCTAGCAAAAGACACCGTCTTCGTGGGAACTGTGGGAACCGTGGGAAGGCCGAAAAATGGCCCCCGCGGTGGAAATCGGCGTGGCCCTGCTGGGAAGAAGGTCCCAGAAACCTGTAGCGCCATGGGGAGGGGACCTCAGGCCATAGCTGGTGGGAAGCCCAAGAAAGGGACGGCTGGGGAGTGTACCCCTGTCTCAGTGGGGGAGGAGCGGAACGATGCAGGGTCAGGGTCCCCAGGGACCGAAGGTAGCATGGATACTCTGGAGACTGTCCAGCTGAAGCTGGAGACCATGAACGCCCAGGCAGACAGGGCCTACCTTAGGCTCTCGCGCAAGTTCGGGCAGCTGAGGTTGCACCACTTAGAACGCAGGAACCTCCTCATCCAGAACATCCCCGGCTTCTGGGGGCAAGCTTTTCAGAACCACCCCCAGCTCGCATCCTTTCTGAACAACCAAGACAAAGAGGTACTCAGCTATTTGAATAGCTTGGAGGTGGAAGAGCTTGGCCTCGCCAGACTGGGCTACAAAATCAAGTTCTACTTTGGCCGCAACCCCTATTTCCAAAATAAGGTGCTCATCAAGGAATATGGGTGTGGCCCCTCTGGTCAGGTGGTATCTCGTTCTACTCCAATCCAATGGCACCCTGGTCATGATCTGCAGTCCCTAAGCCAGGGAAACTCGGAAAACAACCGAAGCTTCTTTGGGTGGTTTTCAAACCACAGCTCTATTGAGTCTGATAAGATTGTCGAGATAATCAACGAGGAACTGTGGCCCAATCCCCTGCAGTACTACCTTATGAGCGAAGGGGCTCGAGGAGAAAAAGGAAAGGAGGGCAGGCCAGGTCCAGCAAAGCAGCCAGTGGAGACCCCAGAGCCTGGGGTAAAACAGACTAACTGATCCTACATGGCTCCCTCCAACCTCCTGCTGGACCTGTTCCTGGCTGAGTGCATGTGTGTTTGGCTGTCTTCCTTCGCTTCATTTTGTACTCTGTACTGTAGCCCCTTTAGCAACAAGAATGGCATTTATGATCATTTTCTTTTGCCGCCTCATGGCCTTCTTGCTTTTTCACAATAGTGTCACCTGTTATGTGATCTCATTGTTTGTATGTTAAGCACTTATACATCAGATGTCTGCTGCCTTTCTTTACATTCCCTGGACCTTGTTCTTGGCTGTGGCCTTTCCCACTGGTCTGTGACATGGACGCTCAGTGAGTCATCCTCCAGGAAGACCAGGGCATCCTCAAGCTCTGCTACTTCATGGCCAGTGACTTGCTGGGCTTTGAGTTCATTCTGGCTATGCATGTCATCAATGGCAAGCTTTTCTTTTGCCACTACAAAATGAAGCCAGTGCATGCAGCATTGGCATCAACCAGAATTTACTGTTCTGGGGGCACCAACCCGAGTAGGTGCCACCTACTTGATATCTCCAGCTTTGGCTTGGGGGCTGTGCTACCTATATACTGTGCATCCAGTAGAATAGCACTTGATTTTTGGGCATGTGGTCAAGGTCAAGAAATAGTATGCCCTGAGTTCTTTACGTCATATGTCTCTTCTTACCTCTGGGCCCAGCTACTGGTGAACCTTCAAAGCCTGTCCATGCATGGTAACTGTGAAGCCACTGAGTTTTGTCTAGGTTGTTTCTGACCACATCTGGCCTCCTGGTCAACAAGGAGCATAAGAACTGCCTGTGGACCCAGATACCCTGCCAGTGCATGAGACATGCCTACCTGTCCCAGGCTTCAGGAACCCTACTGGCTGCCAGACTGATGGGCAGGCTGGTATGTGTATACACATGCTCTCTGTTGTGATGCTATGACTCCAGGTGGGGGTAGGGTCTGGGCCCCACCTTTGTCAACTAGGTATCTTTTGTCAGTCCTAAAATATGACAAGATTTTCCTAATTGGGGTGCTGGGAAGAAGTATTTCTTACCTGTTGGCCTCTTGTCTACTTGACTTCATCTCACAATTTTATACTACATAATCAGTCTGCCTCCCAGTCTTCCTTCTGCTTCCTTCCACTCTCCCTCCCTCTTTTCTTCCTTTCCTGCCACTCTTCCTTCCTCCACTGCTCCTTGCCCTTCTTCCTTTTCTTTTTTCGTTTGCTTAGACAGAAAAAGCAAAACAACTAGGGTGTTTGTACATACAGCCAAGGAGACAGCTGGATACTTGTTAAGCACATTCACATACTAGGCTGAAATAGAGTAGAGGAAACCAGAAGGCCAAGCGAGTCTTTGGTCAGACTCTGGTGCTGACTCCTGGGCTCATTCTATGGTTCTGAAGTTGAAACCCTTTTCATATCTATGCATTTGCTAGAATTAGAAACCCCAAGGTAGCAGTTGTATGGACTAGTGTCTGCTCGTGTTTTGACTTTGTGTGTGTGCCCTTTGAACCCCAGGGGCCTCTTGCTGTGTCTTGTCTGTGGTAGACTCAGCAGCTTGGATCCTCAGCAGCCAGCTTTCCCACTCATCAATCCTTTCCTCTCTTTGCTTCTACTTTCAAATGCCTGTAGAAGGTAGGCTTTAGTCTCAAGTATGGGAGACCACAAAGCACTAAGAGGCATGGGTTAGGCAGGAGCAGAATCTGTTCTAGATCTTCAGGCTATTTTTGGTGGGGTGCAGGCTGAGCTGGGCTTTCCCTGCCCATGTTTGTTTGTGTCCTCTTTTTTTTCCCTCATTCCTAAGGGTAAGAAGTAGGACTGCCTATACCTGCACTTTCTCTGTCCTCCCTTACCTTACAAAAGACCTTGTTCTAAGTTCTGCTAGGGAGTCCTCGATTTGGAGTTGCAAAGAGGGGATGCTAGGCAGGAAGATTGGAGCAAAAATTGGAGCATGAGCCTGATACAGAGTAGCCCTGGAAAAAAGACCCATAGCTTGAGAATCTTCAGGAAGAGCATGTCTGTTTCTCAGCTATGGATAGGTCACAGGGACCTTCCTCAGGATTAGAAGGGAGAATTAAAAGGGTTGTTGGTAAATAGGATGCCCAGGTAAGAGTGGGTCCAAAGCTTTTCCAATCTATATCTCATCATTAGTGGATTTTTCGAATCACAGAAACAAACCAAAAGCAATGTTATTATTCTGGGTGCTTTCTCTTTTGTTTTAGATTTGGCCTTGTATCTGTGGAAGATTAATTCTATGTGATGTGTATTTTGCCTCTAAGTAAAATTTTACCACTTTCCCTGTTGTTGCCTTATGGGAAAAATAGAGCTGTATAAGTATTTTTTAAAACTGTTTTGCTCTTTATCTGGACATTTTCAGAATCACAGGAGTGGAGAGGATAAGCCCTGGACCTTGTGTTCCATCACCTAGCTACATCAGTCACCTGTTATGATCAGCCTAGTGTCATCTATAGCTGCTTCTTCTGCCTGTATTGTTTATTTAAAGCCTAAAACTCTATGCCATTGCAACCTGGGCTAGTTTGGAGTTTGGAACTCTGATGGTATGAGTAGTGTGCAATACTATCATTAGCATCAAGTTTGTTTTTGCTTTTTTGTGTTAAGTAATGAACTCCCAGAAACCAGTCTTCAGAATTAATCAGACTCAAAATGAGGTGAGGGAGTTACTTCCTCTCCCCCACATCCACAAAAGAACAGACTGTTTAACTCTTTGAGACTCTGTTGTAACGTACTTGAGATCCTTCACCATAATATTAATTTTTTTCCAGTGTAGCATGGCAACTTATGTGACTGTTAGAATTATTATCAGTTTTCCCTAGGCCCTTAACTCTGGACATGGAAATATAATTTGGAAATTATTTCTGTATTTTGTGAAAATAATCACTAACTGGTTGTTCTGCTTAATAATTTGGCACCCTGGTAATAATGCAATTATTTCTGTGTTTATGAACAGCATAAATAGTTGTAAGCTTGCCTGCATGATGGAAAAATAAAAATATATCTCTGTTATATTTCTTATTTGCGAAAAATAATTGGAATGTTGGTAGGTAGAGTCTGGGCAGTGAGGAATGTATACATTGGCCTAGATAAGTGATTCCCAAGCTGCAGACCCTGTGTGACTGGCTACACAAAACCACATAAAATCCTCATTCCCAGGCCTTTCTCAGAGATTACGATGGTATGGTTCAGAAGGAAGCTGGGTACTCTTGTTTTTCACAAGTTTTCCAGGTGTTTGTAGTAGGAATTCAGTGCTTTTCAAGTTCAGAGTACATGTGAAGTACCTGGGAATCCTGCTAGAATGTGAATTCTGACTTAGCAGTCTGAGGTAGAACCTGAGATTCTGCATTTATAAGTTTCCAGGTAATGACCTTGCTGGTGGTTTTGAACTGTGCTTTGAGTGGCAACTGGGATGACTTTGGAGGCCCTTTAAACTAGAGTTACGGTGTTCAACCTTGGTTGTGCGTTAGCCTTCCCTGGGACCTGTAGGAAGTATGTTGCCAGGTCGCCACACAAAGACCGCCTAAATCAGAGTGAGGAAAGATTGGCCCAGCCACAGAGACCGCAGAAGCTTCCCAGGTGATTTTGATATCTAGCCAGACTTGAGTACTGGGTTCTCTGATGCATACAGTGGTCATTTCCCATTAAACAGGAGAAGCCAACCTTAGTGACAGCCCAATGCCATATAAAGCTGCCCAACAGAAAATGACTGGAAAAACTTAGAGGTATTTTGTTAATTGACAAAATAAATTTTTTTAATTAGCTGATGTGATGAAGGTTCTGAATAAATGCATAGTGTTCAGGACATAGTATGTCCATGCTGAATGAACAAGTGTATTTATTTCTTTTAATTTAGATGCCCCAGGGATAGGTTGATAAATTTGTGAAGTGGGTTAAGTTTGTTTCATAAGGACATCTGTATTAGTTTGCTGAAGTTGTATCACAAAGTGCCACAGACGGGTGGTTTAAATAACAAAGATACCCTCAGTTCTGGAGGTTAGAAATCCAAGATCAAGGTGTTGGCAAGGTTGGTTTCTTCTGAAGGCCTCTCTCCTTGGCTTGTGTTCACGTGGTCTTTCCTTGGTGTGTGTCTTATGTTTTGATTTCTTTAAAGCATCAGTCATACTGAATTGAGTCCTATCCCAATAACCTCACTTAATTTTTACTACCTTTTTAAAAGACCCTGTCTCCAAATACATTCAGATTTTAACATCTGAATTTGGTGGGGGATAGGGAGACATAATTCAGCCCCATAAAACATCTTAAATCTCATTCTTTGACACATACATATTTTGCATCTTAGAGTAGTTAGTTTATTGAGGTGTATCATGTTCCAGGCACTGATGTAAGAACTTCACATATTGAATCCTTACACAATCTAGGATGCTATCCCCAATGAGGGGATAGCATGGGAAATGGGGTAAAAAGTTAAATAAATTGTTCAAGTCAGAGCTGGGCTTTAATGCAGGAAGTAGGGTTCAAGAATTCACACACGTTGTGTAGTTCTTAACTAAAAACAGGAATAGTCATCATTTATCAAAAGAATTATGTTCTCACCTACTTTTAACCACTTACAGAGATGGATTTGGGTACAGAAGTAGTTTTCTACTGTAAGGATAATAACCCAACCCTGATCGTAAGAGGACCAATAAGATGGGGTGTTGGCACCTCTGTAGAAAGATGTGGAGGCTATGTGTAAGTAGGTTAGGGGCAGTTATTCTGGAGCCCTACCTGATTGGTTTACCTGGGGCAATGAAGGCCTAGTATAGTTATACTTTAAAGAGAAGTGGGGATTCAGTTCTTTATGCAGAATATCCTAAATTTAAATGTTTTCAACTAAAACAAATTGAACACCCAGAGGTTTTTTTTTTTAGCCAATATTTGGTTAAAAGAAAGTAACTGAGCAGCCTGTTCTTCAGGCCTAAGTTGCCTCTTGGAATTATGCAGAGTCCTCTTGGGTTGTAAATCTGCCCAATTCTGAGTATGCATTTTCAGAGCCTCCATTTTCCAGTCCCCTTCCTTTCAAACACCTATCAACCCATTTATTGTTACTATAATGAAATACCCAAGCTGGGTACTTTATAAAGAGAAAGGTTTATATACTCAGTATTGGAGGCTAAAAGTCCCAAACATGGGTGCTGACTTGTGTAGGCCTCTGGCTGATCACATCATGGCAGATAGCAATCTTGGAATGGGTAAAGTTAAGAGGGAGTGATTAGGTGAGATGGAAGATGGAGAGTGATGTAGGGATCAGGCACACTTCTTATAACAACTCTTTTGTGAGAAAACTAACCAGGTTCCAGGAGAAAGACATACGTCGTTTCTAATGTCCATTTTAGGTCTGAACCTTTAAAAGGTTCTACTTCCCTTAGACTGCACGCGTCATATGAGGACCAGAGCTTCTAACACATGAAACTTTTGGGTGACACAATTCAAAACCATAGGCAGTGCTAGCTCGTAAGCAATGGTTCCTTGAGGAACACATTTCGGCAAATGGAATTTGCCACTCCTCTGTGGGCTATAGTTTCATTTTTCTGTATGTATTAGTCTATTCGTTATGAAACGTGGTCATAGCTTGTGCTAGTGGCTCAATGATATCAGGACTCTGGGTTATCTCACTTCTCTTGA